GGAGAGGTCACCTGGGGGCGAGGGTGTGCACACCTGTCCATCACTGTCTGCCCCGGTGGCCTCTGAACCTGGCCCACGTCCTCGCTCAGCTCCTGTCTGCAACTGCCGACCACATCCCCACTGCAGAACCTGCCCACCACATCCCCACTGCAGAACCTGCCCACCACATCCCCACTGCAGAACCTGCCCACCACATCCCCACTGCAGAACCTGCCCACCACATCCCCACTGCAGAACCTGCCCATGGCCTGGCTCAGCACCGAGGATGGGTGAACGCAGATGGGGGTGCCCACTCCATGCTCTGGCTGCCCACCCTGCCAGGCAGGGGGACGGAGTAGGGGTCAGTCTTGGGCCACAGGGGGCAGGCCTGGGCTCCTGGGGAGTGAGAGGCTGGGCCCTGCAGACCCCAGGGAGGTCCTCAGGCCCTGGCCCGTCCCCGACCACGGACAGGCAGGTGGAGTCTAGAAGAAAGTGTGGGAGGGGCCTCTGGGCCCTGCTGCTCTCAGCGGCTGCTCCCTGGGCCCCACGGTCCCACTCACTGGTGTGGGGTGAGGTCAGGGGGCCTTGGCTGGCCCCACACCCCAGATCCAGGCCCAGGGCAGCCACCCCCCCCTTTGCTGTCTCTGTCCCCACCTCGTATGTGTGGGTAGATACAGCAACTGTGATAAACAGCTCAAGGGGGGGCACCCCTACAGGGTGGGGGCAGCGCCCAGGCCCATCTGCCCAGCAGAGAGCCCTAGGCTGGGGTCAGGGGTGAGGTCAGAGGCCCCGGGAGCTGCCCTTTTCCTTGGGGTCAATGTGACCACAGCGCGCTGGGCACAAAAGGCCCTTCTTCTCCCCAGAGGCCTGGACTGTGCGGAGGAGGGAGGCTCTCCGACCGACCGACTGGGAGGGGGCAGGGCGGGCGGCGCCGGCAGAGCAGCGGCCCTGGGTTCCCGGAACCCTGTCCACCTGCCTGTGGGCAGACGGGGTGGGCCAGCTCTGGGAAGTGATGCATGGAGCTCCCGGCTGGGCCAAGGCCATGACATCAGGACTGAGCAGGGCTGGGCTCCGGGCAGGGGAAGCCTGGGGGCAGGGGAAGCCTGGGGGCCAGAGCCTGCTGGTCTCGGAGCCTCTGATCTTCTCTGCCCCTCCGGCCCCAGGCCGCCCGCCTCAGAGAGGAGCCTTCCGGGCCATTCTATTTGTGCTTCCTCCGGCGTCTGCCCTAACCCTGACCACCGACACCCCTGGCTGACCCCTCACTCCCTGGAGACTCTGTCTGGCCCTGTCTCCCCAGGGCAGGGGTGGGGGCTGCAGGACACAGAAGTGAGACTTGGGGCCAGGGAGCAGGGCTGAGGAGGAGGCAGGGGAGTCTCGAGGAGAGGGAACCCTCACAGGAAGGCGTCTGAGGAGTGAGGGGTCCGAGAACTCGACGTGAGCAGACGTGACCCCGGCCAAGCTGAGGAGGCGCTCTGGGCCGGGGGCTGGGTAGCGGCCCTGGCGGAGGGCACCTGAGGCCGGGACTCCCAGCCCCTCTTCCTCGGGAGCAGAGGCTGGAGGAAGGCGGGCAGCTGCTTCCTCAAGGGCTTGAGCCACAGCCAAGAAGACCCGCTCAGATTTTCCAGGAGGGACGGAAACTTCCCCGTCAATCCTCAAGGCAGGCCTGGCTGCGAGGGCAGGTCCACCCGCTGGCAGGAGTGGGGGACCAGTGGGGAAGCCACTGCCTTGCCACAGGGGCCCCCACTGCAGCCCAGCTCCCTGTCCCCAGCAGGTGGGTGCCCAAGGAAATGGAGGATGAACCAAGAAGGGCCTGTATGTGTCTGCATGGGGTGCCACCCCCAGGGCCCCGGGCCTCCAGCTGTGGCTGCTCCTGGCCCTGGCCTCCGCTCCCGGTCCCATCTCCACAGCCACCTGG